GGACTCCAGACGATACTTGCATATTCTATCTTCATGCATATTCATGAAGCTGTTGAAATACAACAGCTTCATGGCTTTAATATTATGAAAGTTTCTGCAATTTCTAACAATGAAACCATAGGCTCTGAGATATTCTGAAACTTTTCATGAAATATGTCTACCAAATGTTAATTTATGATCTAATATTACCCCTAGGTCTTTGATCTCATTATATCTCAGCAGATCTGAATCCTGTTACTACTACTCACTATATACTCACTACTATAAACTGTTCACGGAATGCCAGTTTGGGTTTCGTAATGCTGCACTGCATCAGATCTACATCTGATGCAGTGACGAGATTTGTAGAGTTTGTAACTGAATGATTTGAGGCCTCTTCGAACTCATTAGCTATTTTTGCGGATCTCAGCAAAGCTTTTGACTGCGTTTGCCACTATATTCTTATAAAAAAGTTAAAATTTTATGGTTTTTCGCACATAGCTATACAATTGATGAGATCATATCTTCAAAACAGATCACAATCAGTGTACTGTAATAACCAAATCAGTGAAAGTTTTCCGGTAAACAACGGAGTTCCTCAAGGTAGTGTGTTGGGACCACTTTTGTTTTTAATATATATAAACGACTTACCCGGAAGTATGAATGCCCTAACAACTTTGTTTGCGGATGATGTAACATTCACTGTAAGAATTAGTGATAGATCCTCAGTAATCCAGTAATGGAAAGAAAATATAATACAGCAATCCACAGAATGGTTCACCGCAAATAAACTGATTCTCAACAAGAATAAAACCAAAACACTTATTTTTGGAAAGAAAAACACATCTAAAGAACACGTTTTGTTTTTAGGACATAACATTGATCCGAGTCTGAGCTGGAAAAATCACATCCAGCAGTTAACTAGCAGATTGTCCAAATCGATATTTGCAATAAGGAGACTTAAATCAGTTGTGAACTTGGAAGCTGCTCTCTCCGCTTACTATGGAATGTTTCATAGTGTTATGGTTTATGGTATCGTTAACTGGGGATATTCCTGTCACAAAAGAGCTATATGAGTATTCCTGTCCAGAAAAGAGCTATATGAGTATTAGCGGGCATACCAAACACTGATACTTGTAAACCATGGTATATCAAATTCAAGATCTTGACACTTCCCTCAGCTATAATATATTATAACTTGATTCATGTGAAAACACACAGACATAAGTACAGGATGAATGGTGATAACCATAACTGTTCCACAAGGACCAGATCCCATTTAGCAATTCCTCACAACAGGTTGACATCCACCCATAAACAGTTGATAGGAATTAAATTATTCAATTCCCTTCCACAACCACTGAGAGATGCCCCATTAGCTAAATTTAAACTAGTACTCAAGCATCACCTCCTTCAAACCGCTTATTATGATATATCTGAATTTCAGTAATCATCATGTTGACTTTTATATATACCTCAGGTTTACCATTTTTATATGTAATTATTTTTTATTAATGATTATTGTCTGTTAGGTCTATGTTATATTCGTAAGGAAGATATTTATTTACAAGATATGTACATAGTGTGTCTATATATGTTCTATTATTTGACAAATTGTTATTTCATTTTAATTGCTCACTGTGATATTTTACATTTATACATTTTTACTTTTTGAATCTATTATATGCGACGTATGTATATGCACTTCTGTGTAATGACATGAATAAAATATCTGTCTATCTATCTACTTTACATTTCTCCACATTGAGTTTCAATTTATTATTGCTACACCAAGCAACAAGAAATTCTAATTGAAATTGAAGATTTACACAATCACCTACTTCCTTAATTATAGAAAATAATTTCAAGTCATCCACGAAGCATAACTGCTCACAAGGTAAACTTTCACATAGGTCATTAATAAACAATAAAAACAAAAGAGGACCTAGGTTGGAGCCGTGAGGCACACCAGAAGAAGCTATATATGTTCTAGATTTATAACCGTTATAGGAGACGAATTATTTTCTATATGTCAGATAGGATTGCATCAGCTGACAGGCAGAATTCGAAAAACCAAAACTCATCAGTTTATTGAGCAAGATACCATGATCAATTTTATCAAATGCTTTAGAGAAATCCGTCTATATAACATCACCGTTACATATGAATATTATTCCTATCTTGCTATTGAAATCTTCCATAGCAATGACATCACGTTGATTTCAGTAGCAGATTAAAATATTTTTATGCAACAGTTTCAAAGTAAACAATGGTTGAGCTAATAAACTATGAGATTGGAACATTTGGTGTAAAAGTTGAAACTTTTCCTAGAGATCAACTACCCTAACAAGAAAACTGATATTTTTTCTACTCAACGCGCGTTTCGCTAACAAGGATATCATCTTCAGGAGAAGAAAATTGATACTCTATCAATTTTCTTCTAAACTAAACTGTTTAGTTTGATCTTCCTCTTGAAGATGATCACTTGTGGTGATCGAAACACGTGTCGAGGTGTTAAAATAACGGTTTGGTGTTGACATAAAACTCCATTAATTCGCAGGTATTTATGCCTGACTTTTTGTCGTATCCGACAACTTTAGACCCACCGACTTCATGGGCTTTCCAAGTTTTTTTGTATATATTATACACTCGATTATTTTATTGCACCTCTCGTACCACAAGGGTATGTGTGGTATTTAAAATTGACAAATTACGTAAAAAAACTATATAGCCAAACCAAAATCAAATTAATGAGAAATTTTGGAAGGGACTATTTTTTTATGCACAAGAAACCTTTAACTTACCACTATTAATAATTATAATATTAGGAAAACTTTTATTCATGTTATTAAAACAAACATTTCAATTTGAATTTTAAAACTAATCTAATGTGAAGGATGAATTTGATGATTTTCAACAAGTTTGTTAACATCAGGCTCGAATTTATTCAAAAACAGCCGTAAGTCACCGCGTTCGGTAATCTGCAACCGATTTCTCTTTTTAGTTAGTAATGTTGCCACAGCACTAAATCAACGTTCACACACACAAAATCCTTGAACGATGGATCACAATCCAGGGTACATTGCGGGATTGGCTTTTGTAGCCAAAATTCTTGGTATCAATTTTTGAATTTTATTTTTATTTCCTCGTATCAGTTCTATGAGTTCTTCTTCCAGCTGGGGGGACCCTGCTGTGTTGACATTTGAAAAAGGATCCAACACCCAGTCCGGTATTTCCAATTTTAAAATGTCCTGGAATCGTTCTGCAAAATCACTGTGGAGGTTCTCCAAATGTTGGCAGTAAACAAGCAAGTCGTCGTTGTTGAAGAATACTGCTGACAAATTAGAGAAATTGCGAAACTCACGTCTGCCGATATTATTCTTGAATAAGAGCAATTTGGCTACAAAAGCAGCAATGAGATTTTTTGTTTTAATCGAATTCAAGTCGTCACCTTGAAGTTGGAGATTGACATCATTAAATAATTTATACAGGTCTGTCAAGTACGCAATATCATTCTTTGAAGTGATGAGGTTCTACAATTCTTTGTCTTTGTTTTCCAAGAACTCTATTACAGAGTCAAATAGATTGTGAAATCGAGTCAGATAGTTACCTCTTGATAACCAACGCACTTCTGCGTGAAATAGCAATCGGTTGAAATCTTCATCATTAGCAACACAAAGCTGATTAAATAATCTGTCATTTAAAGAGCTGTTTCGGATTCAATTGACAGCTTTGATGATATATTGCACTCAAATTTTTCGCAACCAAATGTTGCCTATGAATGACGCAATGTACAGCGAGCACATCTAGAATTTTATTTTTTAAGTACGCTATGAAGTCTTTGTGAAGTCCTGTCATAGCCGGAGCGCCATCCGTAGCAGTTGATATAATATTCTTCAGTGGAATTTCTTTCTCATCACAAAATTGTTCCAGTGTATTATATATGGTTTCTCCTTTTGTATCCGTCTCTAAATTTCTGGCAAATAGTAGTTTTTGATATGTTTTCTCATTTTTAATAAACTTCACGTATGACAACAACAATGCTTCATTGGTTGGTAAAGTGGACTCATCTAACTGAATTGAGAATTTAGAAGTCTTCAGATGATTGCACGATGACTCTTCAATATTGTCAGCCATCTCATCAATTCGTCTTTGCAAGGAGCAAGGAGATATTGTAGGAAGCTCGAAGTCCGTCGAGGTCTTGCTTAGAAGCCGCTGAAAAAAGTTTTGACACAGTTGGCTGAGCTGAGTGTTTCTTTTCCAGTTGTTGACTTTTTTATCTGAATGCATTTTATTCAAATGATCTTGTAGCCTTAAGGGTTTCATCGCTTCATTCGAAAATGTTTTTTGACAATGAAGGCACATAGGCGTGGGATTTTCAATAAATCAATATTTTATATATTCCGCGCTCTACTGCCGTTTCCTCTTTTTTGATTCCGCACGTACAGCACTTTACCTAGCTAGTCGCTAACTAAATTCACTTGTTTTCGTCGAATGACATTACTGGCTGGATGGCGCGCGCACTTTCATATGAGGGCGGGCCTAGTACTTTCGAGAATGGAGACTAGAAACTTCTCACTTCGCATTGAAGCTTACCGCCATCTATTGTACAGTTTGACAACTATCGGACAGGAAATAGTTACTGTCTAGTCCCCTAGATGACGTTACACGAAGAAACGTGCGTTAAGTGTAAAGGAGCGGTAAAGTTTGTGTTAAAATAAAAAAAAAAAATTTAAATTAGCCATCGCCCCCTAAGCCGCTTTAACGCCTCCAATCTTCTTTGTGCCCTTTACTGTCCCCCTATAGAACTCCAGGGCCCACAAGGGAGCATTATCGCCTACTTTGAGAAAGATGGTAACTTATCACCTAGATGAACATTGACCAAAATATTTTATCTTTCTTTGCCCAATATGAAAAAAAAACAATTTCCACGTTATTCTACCAGTTATGACTCCACTATTGAGATCACCATAGAAGGTGAAGTGGTTGGTATACTCATTTTTCATTCAGTCAAAATCCACTTTTCAGTTACAAATACTTTATTTTTACTGATTTGTATGGTAACTTACAATATTGTACTTGTACATATATCAGTTCACTCAATTTACATCAATTTTTGTCAACATACACCACGTGGAAAAAAATACAAGACAAGGAAGAATTATAAAATTCAACCAAAGGACAAGTTAATTTTCGGAAACTCAATGGTAATATTTTTTCATTTTATTACATTTGATATGTGTGACAGACAACACTATAATTTTTTGCAATTTTCACATACGAATTGAACAAATCTAAAATAAAATATTACCAAGTTTTGTAGGACCAAGGAATGTAACATTGGATATACCTGGAGAATAACTTCGCCAGAAGTAAGGTAAAAGACATTTATGATCCTACACTCGATATATTGAAACAAAAATACTAATTGCAATATGGGATATTCAAAAAAGTGAAGATAAAAATGTCAACATTGATTTTTCTTTTGATGCAAATGTAAAGAGGCTTTTACTTTTACAAAATATTTTACAGAATAAATGTTTCTCTCAAAAACATATATGTCATATGATAAAATCATTGAAGTTTCAAATTAGCATTTTTGAATTATAAATTGTAGTGATGGAAATTTATGAAAAAAAGTTCAATTTTATTTTTTATTCAATTTTTCAGAGATGTTTACAATTCTTAAGAAAACTCACTTTGATCACAGTGCCTTCACTGATTGTTACAACAGATACATCCTATGTCTGTTGTTGTCCTAAGCAATGGACACATCAAAATTTGTTTAAAGTTATTCCTATTCTTGGAGTTTGATATCATTTTCAAGCACAATATTTGAAGATTGGGAGTAAATCTAGTATCAATAACAGTTATAACAGTATATATATACACATTAATTTCATAAGCAGAGTTCTTTTACAAGTTATTTAATGAAAAATGCCAGAAAACAAAATCTCATACTATAAGAATAATATGAACTGTTTGGTTTCCCAAGTTGTGAAAGTTGTGATGAAAATAATACTGTATATTAAGTAATGCTGTATCAAGAGCCAAGAAAAATATAAGCATTAAGTGGAACAATTCAAAATTTTTTCAAAGTTAATTCTATCAACTCCAGAAATTTCAGTCCACCCCTGATGTATCCTAACAAAATATTCGATAATTAATTGCTGAACTATTATCTTCTCATTGGCTCATGATAAATAAAATACCTTGGAAGATTTTTGGAGAGATGTGTGTAGACCCGTAAGATTTAGGGAAATGTGAGTATTCTAAGAAGCAAACACGAAGTGCTAGTAGTAAACTAACTCTCCAAAAGCCCTTACGTTATGCATGATCTTGAATACATTTTAAATATAACATAGACTAGATGGAAATGCCAGTTTTGGCCTAAGAGCATATTATTGTAAACTTAAGCAGTCTGACTATGTCAATATATACATATTTTTTGCCAACAAAACATATAATACACCCAATGGCTCTTGGAATAAATTTGTTACTTTTGAAATAAACAGATTGATTTATATAGTTCATTACACTACTACATTGACAGTAGAAACAGTTGATAACTAACATAACTCCCTATATAATAATGCAATCGTATAATCGAGAATTTTTCTGACTTAGATAAATAAATAGACATAGTAGTAATGAAGCAAGAAACATTCCCTTTTATATCAGGTAGGGAAATATACATGTTCTATACTATTTACAGAATTATATAATACAAAATTGTACAAATCAACCTAAAAGTCTAATTATCAAGTGCTTTTTCATATAGGATATATAAAACAATTATTGCCAATACATACAGAAAACTAGGTAATTATATGGTACAAAGCAAGAAGCATTTTTTTGTCAGGAACAATAATTTGTGCATTCAAAATGTAAGGGAAGTAGTCAATACAAATTCAAATAAAGCTTACAGTTTTTTGACTAGATTATTTTTTCTTGATCACTGCAAAAATCCTCAGCAAATACTTTCTTTATCGTTGTAATACCCTTTATAAACATGTTCATCTGTCAAGGAAATATGAAAAAGTCCTCTGATCCTTCGGTCTTTGAAATTATACAATATTTGCTCGCTAAGAGATAGTCAAAAAAGTAGATTAAAAAAATTGAATCAACAGAAAATTATCAGAGGAAATTTTCAAAAAAAATATCCTTACATACATACTGTACATCAATTCATACATGAAAATGACTAACAAGGTAACTCGATATTTGAAAGATAGAAAATGTTTATATGCAAATTTCTTTTCTTTGAAACCTTTTCCACCTTTCTTCTCTGTCATCTCTTGAATGAATTCTTGAAATCAGAATTGAACCGTTAAGCGAATATGTAATCAGTCTTGCTTTATTATATAATGGGTATACATTATGATAGAATTAGTAGAAAGTTCTTAACATCCATCCAGTTATTAATTGACCCTGAAGTGAATTACAGAAATTTTAAGCGTACGAATGGCTCCGATGATCGAAGAAGTATTCAAAACTCTGATTCACATTATTCCGAATAGGATCTGAACTGGTTGAGTTGCCGTTTAAGGCGGCGGCTCGGTACTGCTCGCTGAAGGACAACATTATATCACGGATCTTTGCAATGATCTCTTCTACTCAGGCATTCGACTCCTTGAACAAAAAAATACAAAATTGTCAAGTGATGTCTGACAATACTTTGATATTTGTATTTTATTATAAAATAAGGTATTTTTCACTCATGTAAATATATATCTTCTACTAGGGCAATAAAAGTATTTGTATGTTTATACATTGGCTAAATTTCTCTCAACTTCGAAATGATGAGCAGCTCTATTTTGCTGCATATGTCTGACAATCCCATTGCACTTTCCTTTGACCTGACTAGAGCATTGGATACAGTTGACCATAATCTTTTATTGGATAAGCTGTATCGGATTGGTGTATGAGGAGACGCAAATGAATGGCTTGCATCTTATCTCAGAGAAAGGCAACAAATTGTAGTATTAGGTGGAAATAGATCAACAGAAAAAAATGTAAATACTGGTGTCCCTCAAGGATCAATCTTGGGACCTGTTCTCTTTATAATTTTTATCAATGATATGGTGTACGTATGTCCCAATGCTGGCAAAATTGTCATGTATGCTGATGACCCTAATATTCTCATATCAGATAATGAATTAAAAAATACTGTTACCAGAGCAAGCATTTGTGGTAATGATTTTCATAAATGGTGCTCATTTAATGAACTATTAGTTAACCTACAAAAAACATTCTTTATGGTATTCAGAACAAAAAATATAAATCGTGATATGAATTTTTTAATACTAGTGAATCATAAATCAATAGAACAGGTAAATTTCATTAAATTCCTGGGTATCAAAATAGACCAAAAAATTACATGGGAACCTCATATTGATGATCTAACAAATAAATTGAGTACAATTTATTTTATTATCAGACAACTCAAGGGCACAATATCAGACATACTCAAATTAGAGTAATTTGGACTTGTACAATCTGCATTGAGCTACGGATTGATTTTTTGGGGAAATTCAGTACATATGAATAAAGTCTTTATCATCCAAAAGAAAATAATTTGATGTATGGCTGGTGTAGCTCGTGGAATCTCTAGTAGAAACATATTCAAACAACTCTCAATTCTAACAATCCCTTCACTTTACATTCTTCTGATTATCATCAATGTCAAAAAAGAAGAAAATAACCTGAGTAGAAGATGTGATTTTCACAAATACAATACGAGAAATAGTGAGAGCATCCACCAGTCATACTTAAGATTGAGCATTGGTCAGGATTCTCACATATACCAAGGAATCAGGTGCTATAACCGACTTATGAATATATTCCCGCACTTACTCAGCGAGTGCAAATGTGCTGGAGGATAATCTGACTCGTTATCTAATAAATCAATCATTTTACTCCATTGAAGAGTTTTTAGACGCTATATTGTAGAGACTTTTAATCTAATTGTTTGTATATTTTCTATATTTTAAATTGTATATTTCTGAATTTTCTTTATAGCCTTGTGACTATAGTCCGATAATTTTTTTGCATGTATATATGTATTCTCTTGAATGTATATGTAAATTCTTCAGTGATGAATAAATAAATTCTAATTCTATACTGCTCTAGGCGGAATCAAGCAGGGTAGGTCAGTCAAACATTTTCCGAAACAATATCTATCAAAAAGAGACAAGTTCCCAACCTTCCTTTGATGTTCTAGTTCTAGGATATTAATGTTGATTATGAGGTTCTGTCTCCAATCAGATGGATGGCTCTTATCTGAATGGAATCTAGCAGTTTCTGGTCAAGTTTAGGGGCGAAATTCCATATATGCAGGCAATATTCCAAAGCAGGTCTCATTTGTATCAATAATATTCTGTGTAAGAAACAGCCAGTCATGGGATGAAACAATGGAATGTAATAAACTCATCCAATTTTTACATCATAGCCATTTCTGAATACATTTGATCTTCAGCGATTCAAGTCCAATGTGAATCGCTACTTTCGCATAGGCACCGCTTTTTAAGAGCGCCTTAAGGATTTTCCTGTAGTGCTTCTATACCTTGCCACCCACTGCCACCCCAACTAAAATTTGGCACCCCAATTGAAAATGTTGAATTTACGCCTATGTTTGAAACGAGAGTAACTACCTTTTACTCAACTTTAATTTTCATCTCATATCAAGTATCTGTCAATGTGGATATTCAAGTCATTTTTGACAAAAATACTCACCCTACAAAAATACTTTAAACAATGATAGGACAAAACTTCGATGAACATCGTGAATAGATTGTTCAATAAATCACAATTATTATTTTTATTATTATTATTCAAATTACAATTTTGCTCAACTGGCTATCGACCGAAGTCCTTCCGCCCGTGTAACAAAATTGCTTTAAAATAACATGCTTATTTTACAATATCAAAAAAAAAAAAATAATATGATATGGATATAAAAATGAACAAACAAAACAATTTCATTGATAAAGTTGTGTTATTTTTTCTAACAGTCTTTCTGTTGGGTGTCGATGTCGTACTCTTGCTTGGGGGTTTCTTGTCACAGCATACTTTCTAATGATTTCCACATTGTCGTCTTTTCTAGCAAACTTCTGAGTGAATGACGGTAGTCTTTCCTCGATAGGGATATTACCAGTGACTTGATACAGTAGAGGGTTTGAAGGGTTGTGTTTGGGGTTATTGGGATGCCTTAATCTTGTTATTTTCCTTATAGCCGTTGTTTCAAGGCCCTTTGTTTGATATTGAGAAACAGTGGGTGCGAGTATTCAATAAGTGAACAACAGATTAGTTCATATATTCGGCTTGCTGTTGATATGTTTGCACCTGCTCCCGGGTTTGTCAAACTTGTGAAATGTGCGGCTCTTGAAATCACTTTCTTTTTTTTTGTTATTGACGTGGCTGTTGAAATTTAGTCTGGAATCGGCAAAGAAAAAAAAATTGTACGGTAACAGGGGTCTAGCGTTTCAACGTACGATCCCAATGAGGATAGTATACAGAGTCTCGAAAGTCATCAAAGAAAAAACATGGCTGCCTATCATATACCATCAACAGAAAAACAATGCCCGCCCATCATCTATCATTGAGAGAAAAAACGATGGCCGACATCTGAAGAGTTTAAAACCCTATCCTTGCGGCACACCAATGACGACGTATGCTTCATGACAACGTATGCCCCATATACCTCATGATGACGGAGATACAGAGACTTGCACGGGTACTCCAACCTCACAACTTTTACTGGAGAACATGAAAATTAAAACAATAGAAGCGCTGCTCCCTCTCCAAATATGTTATTTTATGAAGACAAAGAAAATGTGAGAAAATTTGGCATTTTGAGCTTTTGGAACTTGGAAACATGCAAGCCACCTCGAACAACTACATATCCATTGCGACGAATTCAACCCCAACAAAATGGTTTTTCTTCTGAAGGAAAGTTTTATGTTGCTCTTAGCGATTCTCAATAATACATTTTATATCTATGTCCCTTATGGAGTTCAACGTATAGCAGTTTGTTTCTATACAAATGGGCTCAAACATGAGTGTACTAGAACAGTGTGGCAAATCATGAGTTTCACAGAAGTCAATGAGAATGAATTTAAGAAACGCACAATTATACACTCAAACTCATTTTTCAAGATCCAATGGAACGAGATGCTGATAAAAGGTAGACAGTACATTATAACCAAAAATATCATTAGAATGTCATATGTAAGATGCTTTTCAATATACTAATTATAACATGTATAATATTATGTTGCATTATACCTATTCTATGAGAAATTATTGCAAAGATGCTGAAAAGAAAAATCAATTTTTTTTTCACGAAAAAAACTATATTCACAAATTTCATTATGGAACAAACCAGTCACTTTACGGGACAAATGTCGAATACTGACGAATTATTAAGGACTTTGTAAGGATGCCTCACGAACGTTCATAATCATGGCATATTATGAGATTTTATCATTCATGAAATTAACACACTTTGGTAGCTCACTTTGTGGCACGGCTTCGTTACTTTATTGCACAAATGTGCCAAAGTTGTCATATATTATGGATTTTAGACATTCATAATAATAGTCGACAACAAAGTATTATTAGAAAGTTTTATCATTGATTTAACATGTATTTTATGGAAGGAGGGGGGGGTTGCTGGTGTGAAAATACTGTTCAATATATCGACGTATTTGAAGGAAAAGCAACATTTGAGTAGAACTCGCATACACATTAAATTTTCGTCTTGAAAGTGCCACAATTGTTATTAGTCGAAAAGACAATGGTTGAGAATAAAAATATTCTTTGGCATACAAATCTTTTGTTTCTTTCTTCAAAATATGCAACAGTTTCGTATTCCGGCATTTAGTTACTTCGAAATACGTTGGTATGTAAATGTTCCCAAGAATTGAAAAGTTCAATGAAACGGCATTATACCCGTTCGATTGTAACAAATTAATAAATACATTACATCTAATACTCGATTAAAATAGATGTTCTATATAGGTGCATTAATGTTTAATGCCGATATCGCTTCATTTGTGTAACTGAAAATAGATTATCGATGGAAATTGGGGATTTGTAATTATTTTGGATATTTCTGATGGCTTCACGATTTTTTGAAGGAGTTAATGAGTTCTTTGCAGATTGTTGAGTAAGCTGCAGAGGGACCTCTGCCTTAATTCTGGTAATTTTCACAATCAATTCGCAGGTGCCTATTACTTTCCTATTCTTGATAGTCACTCTGTTATTATTTGGGTTGATTATTCTTACTGGAATGGTCTAGTTGTTACCACTTATGAGAGATCTGGCCACGAAAATTTCCATTTCAGTGCCGTTGAATGGCTCTATCAATGCTGTGCCCAAGCCACCAGGTGCAGCAATTGCCGCTTGAATGATTCTCTCAATGTTGCGAGTGAAAACACCCCTTTTTTCGGCCACTATAATGTCATCGAGATAGACCAGGCATGTTTACCAGGTGAGTCATCACAGGACCAATTCCATCAGGCGTTCAAATGTTACGAGTGCTTTGCATGATCCAAACAACATGAACTTGAACTGATATAATCCATTGCAAGTAGAAAATGCAGTCTTCTCTTTATACCCGGGGAATGACCTCTGCCAATATCCGCTTTTTAGATATAATGTTGAGAACCATCTCACTCACTAGAAGAAACGTCTTCACTTTCAGATTTTAAATGTACATTATGTGTAATTATTAAGCAAATGTACTCATATATACATACCTAAATCACTTTAGATTAGATTAGTTTAGTTTCTATTCCACAATTTCCAGGTCTCCGTCTCACTTCAGCTTCTCCATAAACCGTCAGTCTCCAGTGTCAGTTCACTGTTGACAGAACGAGTACTACTAATAACCTCTTCAAACTGATAGTGATGAAAATATCGGCTTTGATTACTGACCTCGTTGCTCCAGTATCGACAGTGAAAAGGTAATGGTGCTCATTAGGAAATCCATCAATAACTAAGCTGTTACTGTTGTGTCCTTTTGTGCAGACCGAATACTCAGGATCTTGGGTTGCAGCAGCCAATGAACCCCCCAAATACTTGCTGAGTGTAGTTTCTTCAAACACCGACGCTCTCGTTCGGGTGCTCTCATGTTCTGAATGTAGATTCATTTGCCAAAGAGCTCCTTTAGACCTGCCATTAATCGATATGTTATTCTATCTTTCTTTTCGTTGTTGGCGGCATTTTTGTCACCTTCAAATTTTAGGGCATGAACGATGACTTCATTTAGTTCTTCATGACGCGTCATCCTCAGCGACTGCTGTCACGAGCCTCGTCGATGAAATACAATGAGTTATTTTTTTGGATGCTTCTGGATAGGCCAGTCTAACCAGCGTTTCGACTTCATTCCAAAACTCCTGCAGCATCTCGGATGTACCTTGAGTTCTCAACTTCAGTTGAGCTTGGTAGACATGTTGTAGGTGCTATCTACCATATCTGACCTCCAAAGCTGACTGCTTCATAAATAATTTTTCTACTTATTCACACGAATATTTTGTAGCATCTTCAAGGCCTATCCTCGTAGTGTCTATATAAGGAATGTTGCTTTCTCTCCCATTATTTTTCGCAGCGGTCTCAAATTGTCTGCAATAAATTGACCATTAAGATTCGGCTTCGAAGGTTAAAGTTTTAATAAAACCAATGCAAAACTGATTTTCTTCTTTTTACTGAATATTTATCAATGAGTCTGCCTGTTTCCTGTTTTGTAGATATTTAGTAGCAATTCACTATCTTCATTTCGGCGTAATGGTTCATCCTCTCTCCTTCATTCATCTTCCTCTCTCCTGTGTTCATCTTCCTCTTTTTTGTTTATTCTCCGCCAGGCTCGTTCATTTTCTCAAGTTCTTACATCCTGTCGTAATCGAAACACAGTTTTCTAGATGTGCTGAGGTGGAAAACAGGAGGTACTGACTAGTATACTCCAAATGGCAACAAGATGAAAATAGAGCACGAAAGTACCTCACTTAAGATTCAATACCACATAGCACTGTTTCCAATTCTTCATGTATGTGCCCATTAATCTCAGAAAATAACTCTAAAGGAACAAATGGGTGCACTTTTTCCTACAAGGATACTATTTATGGGTCAACAAAAACTAAAACTATATCATTAGAGATAAATTGTTGATCACAATATTGGTTTGTTAAGAATCTAAGCTTTGACATTGACTACCAAATTTGGAATATTTTCCACTGAAAGACACAACTAGTTGAAACTATCAAAGTAGCAGTAAACTAGAAGCGAAAGTATGTAAATTAAAAATGAAACTATACTATTTGAACATTCCTCACCTTCAGATTTTCAAAATAGTGCATAATTTGATCGTAATCCATATCCAATTGTAGGTCATCTAAACTTGGCAGTTCCGCAGTTGTTTTATTAACTTCAATATTGTTTTCATCTGCACTGAACATAGGATTTCCAACTATTGTTGCTCTTTTAACTTCTGCACTGTTTCTATTGCCTAGAACAACATGAATGTGATTTAGATTCAGTAAGTTTATTATTTCACCAACTCTTGTAATATACTCTCAAATAAATTTGATGTAAGGTAAATACTCTGAGAGGTTGCATGGTATTTCAAAGGCTCCGTTCATGGTAACTGATAAAGCTTAGGCACCATTCAACTTTCAGCATGGGTCACATAACACCACTGTATTGACACGTCTTTTTAAATGCCTTTTACATCAGGCAAGCCTTACCGTGTACTTATTCTTACCCCTGAGGGAGGAACCATTCTTCTGACGTTTGACCCTGGACTGAGAAGCCCTACCTGTAGCTGAGCTTTCGTCATCATAGCTGTCGCGATCATAAAAGTACGCAAGTCCCACAACCACAGCAAGGTGAGGGCACCATTGATGTGTTTTTCATACCAAAGCAAGAACTTGGCTTTAATTGGAAGGGGATTAATTTACTTACTATTAGCATTTGGTGATTTTGGATACTGAACAAACTCCATTTTATCTTCTCTTTTTGTTACTGATGTTGGTGGTTCATCATCAAATTCGAACATGATTTGATCTTTGTTGCCATCCATTTTGTCTGCATTTTCAACAGAAGATTCTCTATCATGTCCACTCTGTGGCCTTGAATTAGCTCTGTAAAAAAGGAGTGAATTTTATGCTTCAATAGCTATTTGCTTTTTCTACAACATGTATAATAGTTAGTTGCAGATGATATGAAATGAACTAAAATTGGTAATTAATAACTGTTGTCACGGAAAGTTTCTCTATGAGGAAATTACCGGTTAAACAAATTTAATATTTCTAAATTATTTTGAATTATAGAGAACATTAGTTACTCTAGATTAAAATGTGTTTTTACATCTGTAAAACAAGCATAACTACAATTATGGTAATTAAAGTAGATAAATGAATCAGTTGGACAAATAGAGAACCAAAACGGTCTGGATAAGTTATAAAATTGTAATATCTGAAATAATTGTAGCTGATGCGCCAATGAACTGACGTTTTCAATTCCAAACAGTACCAACGGCGGCTCGTCAGAGGAGGCAAGGGAGGCTTAGCCTCCCCATAAAATTTGAGGCTATTCATCGGAATAAATTAAAAGATATTGACAAATATCTCTCTCACTACGTAGTACGTACCAACATCAACAAAACTCAAACGCACCGCCCATGAACAAATAACGAATAAACCATCAACCTGAAATAATAAATGCCATACGTTGCAAGGGAGCCAAGCTTCCGACCGCTTTAAAATACGATATACTTCCCAAATTGTAGTTTCAGTTGCAGAAATTATAGCGTTAGAGGGGGCTAGCCTCCAGTTGGTCTCCGTTAGTGTACGACCGCGTTTGTTTTTTATTCAATTATTCGGACGGGATGCCGTGACAGACGGGAACTGAAAAATATTTCGGTAAATCGTTTCTTGATAATATTTGTTATTTGTGTATAAAACAGGTAGTAGTATTATTGTATTATAGCAGTGCTTTTTGGTAATATTTTTAATGTTTTCAAAGTGTTTTCTTTCAATTTCAAGGTGTTTTCAGGTTTTCACTTTTTGGTAAGTTTTTTTTTCCATTTATTATGGAAGTTGAACAAAATTAAAAAATCTGACGATATAGTCAATTGGTTGCTGACAAATAATTTCAAGTCTTTATCTTATGATAATAAATTTTACATTATTAAAACTCTGGGAAGGCCTCAACCAAATTTGATTTCCATTAAAACGTCAGATAATCGACAAAATCGAGGATTTAATATTAGTTGGTACAATAAATGCGATTGGTTAACCGGCTCCATTAAACGAGAAAAACTTTTTTGTTGGCCCTGTGTTTTATTTTCTGTACAAAACGAATACCAAACGTGGTCTAAAATAGGATACTCCGATTTTAAAAAAATCACCTCATTCTACAGAAATACAATTTAAATCTGAGGAGCATATATTTTCATCTTGTAAATTAAAATTGTTTAGCAAACAAAATATAGCAACAGCTTCAGATACAGCTCAAAAAGAGGCCATAATTTCTTCTAATAATCAGGTTAGGGAAAATCGGTCGAATTAAAAAAAATTATCGACAATACGATTTATTTGGGTTCCCAATAATTAGCTTTTCGTGGATACGATGAAACCGATGATTCGATTAATCGCGGCAATAACAAGGAACTTTTAATGTTATGGGGCAAATATGATTTACAATTTGGCACTTCTTTAAACGGCAGCGTTTTTTCGGGCACCTCAAAAACCATCCAAAATCAGCTTATATACAGTGTGGCATATATTATTAAGGAAAATATAAGCAAGGAGATTGGAAGTGTTTCTTTTTTTGCATGGGAAATTGATGAAACTACCAATATTACCTGTACATCACAACTTTCAATTGATTTTATATATGTCAAAGATGGTAATGTGGTAGAACGTTTTATGGATTTTCATGATGTTTCATCTGGGCGCCACAGCTGACAATTTGTTTAATTTTTTAATTCGCACTTGTGACACCTATAATTTTAGGCAAAAGGTAATTGCGCAAACCTATGGTTTACCTAAACGGTTTACAAACTAAAATAAAGTCCATAGCTCCTCATGCACTTTTTACGCATTGTCATGCCCATGTCCCTAACTTCAGTATTAAGCAAAGGGTGCAACAACATAAGAAATTTCCGGCCTCCGGCGGGCTTTTCTGTGTGTATATAGCCTTTATGACTTTAGCCTCCCCTGTTCTCCAATGCACGAGCCGTCACTGAACAGTACCATGTTTTCATGTAAACCATGAAGTTAATTACCAACCTAAAATGACTTGATTTGTCTTGACTCCTATTTCTGTGATGATGGTGATGGTGAGACTTTCTTGGAGATGGCATTTCAACCGATGAGGTACTGCTTGCAGAGACTCCTATATTACGGTGTGGCGGCACAGGAGGTCGATAATCGTTTATGTCTTGAGGTGGTTTAGGTCGTTCAGCTGGTTGAAGTGGCACACCATGAGGAGGAAGTGGTGGAGGTGGAGTAGGTTTATTCCTTCAATGATGGAAGAAATATATGGAATTAAAAATTATTTTGTGGAAATTCATTTTCAATTAGATATAGGAATGAAATACTTTGTCTGATTTCTTTGTCTGAAACCGAAACCTTGATCGTATTAATATCAATACATTAAGTAAGTGGAAATTAGACAAAATATTTTATTCCTATATCTAATTGACAAAATATCTTGTAAATAGTATTTTTCTGATAATCTCAGGAGAATAACTTGGAACTAATTTATGAAGGAGATGACTGAAATAACTATTCACTTTAAGTGTGAATACGAGGTAAGTTCAGAAAATAACGTTAATTTTCGTTTTCTGGTGAAAATATTCATTTATTCGTCTGCATTGATGTTGTCGACTTGAAACGAAATAGGCCCCATTAGATATTATTCACTTGTGCCTGCGATTCTTTATCTCCGAAACACTTCTCAAACTCGATGTTTGGGATAGCCTTTAGTTCTTTTAGCACAACGCACCTTCAATGTCATCTATGCCCACGAAACGACGGCCCTTCAAGGTTCTCTACATTTTTGGAACTAGAAAAAGTCGCCCGGAGCAATGTTTGGCGAATATAGAGGCTGGGGCATCGTTACAGTATTGTATTTGAACAAAAATTCTCGAGCAAGCAATGAAGTATGAGCAGGTGCATTATCGTGGTGCAAAAGCCCTAAATTGTTTTTTCCACAAATACGGGCGTTTTTTTCCGATTGGTTCTCGCAAATCATTAGCGATTTCTCTGATTATGTGTTCGGCGATAGTTCATGAACATTTCTTTCACTTCGGTTGTTGTTATGCTGGAGCGATCGGGGCTTTTTGTCATCTCCGACGTCTTCACGGCCATCTTGGAAATACTTATATCACTCGTAAACTCTTTTTTACTTGTTTTACCCATAGCAAATACACCATAGGCCATTGTTAACATTTCACGTATTTTGTTTCACGTCTGATCTCAACCGCTGCCCAATGAATTCAACTGAAAATTTTATCATACTTCAGGGGTATGTATACCGACATAATTGAAAATATTTCGATAATCAGACTCTGCAAACCTGTGAAATTTGGAACTTACCGTTATTTTCTGAACATACCTTATATACTATGAAAAATACACGAAAAAGTAAATTATAAATGTGTTAGTTTCAAAAAATTGGGTGTGAAATCTAACAAACATCAAATAGTTAAGAGTGTAGATGCACTTTGAAAATTGGTTGTTTTTGGTTCAATGTTGTATAACAAATCCTGTGAAAAATGTCGAAGCTGTGATGAATATTCAGAGCAAAATGTTAATGAGATTCCAAAAATTCATCAAATGAATAAGGGATAGGCTGTAGAAGTGCTAGAAGATTTAAAAAAATATTTTTATTTTACACACCTCAAAGACTTTCTACCCTGAAACCAATTTTCAATAATCGATTCCTGAAAATAGAATTGAAGAATATTGAATAACTTCTTCAGGAAATTTGAGGAAAAAAACTATTTTTGGAGCTTACGATTTCATTTTGTACAACATCACAGTTATTGCAGACAGTCATTTTGTACTTTTCTATCATATTTTTATTTAATTGTGAAAGTGAAGAAAATTCATTTTATTTTCAGATTAATGATGATATAACTTGAAAGTTTAACAAAATAGAGGGTTACATTATAAGTTTGAGATGAAGAGATGAAGGACTGAAAATGTTTCATATACAATTTTTTTTATATCAGTTCAATGGGCTTTTTTTAAATAATCTCTTATATACAGAGTAACGAGTTTTTTGAATGAAACATATATTGCTCTTCATTTTCAGATTGTACAGGTATATACCAAGCCGTTTAGCAATTATGTCAAAAATAAAGTTCAAAACCAGATCTATTCAACTGCTTCCATTTTCAATGAAAACTTATATGAAAAGTATGTTTTGTTATGAAGATGTCGTTTTTTTATTAGCGAGTAATGATTTTACCATTTTTACATTTTTTATTCATTTTTGTTGAAAGTAAGGCTCTAGTTAATTCCAGATATCATTTCTTATCGAGGTCTTTTTGAAAATAATGGGTTATATAGATAAATAGGTACCTAGCAGTTTGAAGCATATGAAAATATAAACAAAAATATATACATTTACAACACTAAACTTCTGCAGCGAAAATTTTGAAAATGTAATTTCAGAGTGAAATAAGTTTGATACAATTTGATGAGTATTCAGGTGTGTAGGTCTTACGGAAATATAAATAAATGAGATATATGTGATGACAGTTTGTCAATGAACAGAAATAATTACAAACCACATAGAGAGTTTACGTGAGAGTTCACATCATCAACAGATTTATTTGTGATCGATAATATTGAAAAGTTTCAGGGTCCGGTTAGCTAGTTTCTTACAAAATTACAACTTGGAATCCATAAAATAACATGTTTCCTTAAAAATAGAGAAATATAATGTTATCAAACATTGAATTTCCTTAGTCAAATTACTTATCAACAATGAAAACATTTTTTTTTCTAGGATGAATAACTTTGTTAATAAAATTGGGTTCAAAATTTGTTTTGTAGACTTTTTATTATGATATAACTCATTCAAACCGCTAAATATATAATCAGCCTTTCACGGGGATATCAAATGTAAAATCAAATATCACTATGCAACGGATTTTTAATAGATATAGTGATTCAAAAGGAAGATTTATATGTATATAACATGCATAATATAATAGAAAAACACTGATAATTTTAGAGGTTTGTAATGTGATGTAAATAAACATATTTATATGTGATTACATTGCAAATGCTGGCTCAACCCTACAAGATAGATCAAAAAATGTATATGCTAAAGTATTGTACACCCTAAAAAGAACTACAAAAAATTCCGCGATGGTATACGGCAGGGATAACCCACAATAACCTTTTTTTAGCCTCGAGAAATAATGGCTAATTTACGAAGCGATTTTGACAATAATCCTTATCAAATTAAGTACCTCAAATACATTGTGCATTTAATATAGTCCTTTACAGCATGTAATTTAAATGCATATTATCGAAGATATCACATATATTAAATGCACGGACATACCGGTTGCGACGGTACCGGCCGTATTGCACATTGAACCCGTGCGGAGACGGAGGGGTTCGCTACTAGGGTGATTTATAGAAAAAATGACAAAAATTGCTATCGAGTTTTCATTCACCAAGTATTAGAAACAAGCTTTTGTCCAAATTTAATATTTGGTAATAAAAATACTTCATTTTCAAAATATTCCCATAATCAAACATACAATTCAATTCAGTTTTCATTGAAAATGAGGATGATTGAATGAATCTGCTTTTTGACAATATTTTTGAATGCAATCGTAAATTTTTTCAATACTTTTCTGAAGGAATCTGAACATGGAAAGCAATATTTGTCTTTCATAAAAAAAAACTTGCACAAATTATCTCTTTAGCATGCTGTATGATGGAGATTATCTCAAAAATGTCCAGAGAATTGATAGCTAATAAAACGTTTGTACAAAACATGATCATTTCTCTGAAAGAGAAGTCAACAAAGGTATCAAGAATGATCCCCGAAATTGTGTTAATGAGGTTGAAAATGATACTTCACAAAATCCTTCCCAATTCTGGGATTTTATCAAAAATAAAAAAGGTAACAGTAGGATACAGGTTGAAATGGAAGATGAAGATGGAGAGAAATATTATTCAAAATCATAGAATATTGTTGACACTTTCAGCTCTTACTTTGCTTCTTTATCGAAAGCAAAACAATTTATGTTTTATCAGACATCTCTGAGAAAGGCTATTCAGGACAGGACTTTTATCAACTTTTATAAGTACAGCTAATTCCACATTTTTCCATTTTTTAACCTTCAAAGGCATGTAAGACCTTGTTTTCTTGTACTGGTCTCAACAATTTCAAACATTCCTGGCTTATTCTGTGAAGCTATTATAGTCCATTCAGTTTTTCCGACATATATGTCGGTCAAACTAAGCACACTAAGCTCGCTTCAAGGAGCATGTTTCACGTATTTTATTAATATCTGTTTTTTCGTTAACTAGCTGTTGTCCCCTTATGAACAACTACCAAAAGTCGTGTAGATACATAGCTTGTAAATAATACCAAAGCTTGTAAACAACAGTTTGTCATCTCCTCATAATGTTAACTTAGTTTGCAAAACGAGCACCGAGACAGCATTTTTGTTCTGGTAAAGAAAAAGATTCATTTCACACCAAAGGTTTCAAATTCCACTTATCAATGTTATCACCATGTCATAGCAATTCATTGTTGAAGTATTGAATTGCTTTTGGTTTTAGGAACTTCACAATATTCGATTTAGGTTACAATTTGACAGGTAAAAGTGGAACATCTGAAATGAATCGTTTTGCTACAGACCAAAACTAGAGAACTTTTTCACGACAGACATACTTGACTGTTTAAATGCCAAGGTGAGTTTTTGTACGAATGAGCTCTTTCTTTTAACAAGTACCACTCCTGACAAAATGTTTTATCAAAACAAATTCGAAATATTATCAATGCTAATATCTATAGATAAAACTTTCAGGTAAACATATAGTTTTCAGGTAACTTTGAAAAACAAATTTAGGGAGTCGAAAAGGCTTTTCACCAGCCTATATAACCTGAAATGTCTTCTATCTTAAAAAATACACACGTTCCATTTTTTGCACTGAAAAGTAAATAACTTATCAACTATTTCAATTATCCAATAATTTTATGAAAGAAATGACTGCTGTCTATACAAAAGACTGCTGAATGAGAGGTTTTAAGTGTGTGGAAATTAATGTACTCTATTGACTTTAACATAATCCTATTTTTTCCAATTGAAATTATCAACCCAAAACAAGATTTCGCTTTCTTAGATTTTATATTTTATGAACCAAGAATTGGTGTTTCCAAATATTTGTTGAAAGCAAACTACCACCTACCACACTTGAAGATCATCATTATTATCGTTATCATTAGTTATCCCTCCACCAACTTTGCTCTTACAATAAGTGCTGCTGTCGATGGCCTTATTGGAGTTGAGATCACTTCTGCTTGGTAGCTCAATATGAGTGGGATTGCTGAAACTTGTTGCCAAACTGTCTTCAGGTTCACAATAGTTCATGTTCAGAGGGTTGGTGATGATTCTCATGTCTGGTGGGTTATTATTGACAGTAGAATTGCGAATGGAAGGATCAATAGTAGCCCGACCTAGCCATACCCAATCATGGGCATTCGTTGTCGACTCGCGAGGTTTACGAGGTTCTCGGTGAATCACAAGACTGGTGGGATTCACGGGAGATGGTCGAATACCAGCCGTTACTCCAGCTTCAATCGGTTTGAACTTCGAAGCATATACAACACAAGATACCACAAAAACCTTAAAAAAAGAATCATATGAAGTTAAAAAGAAAGCGCTCGCAGATAATTAATAGAAGATATAAAGCTTCAAATCCTTTTTGTAGAATTTAATATTGAAATATATATATTTGTATATAGCCATATATGTATAATCCCAAGGTTAGCGTATTCCGATCACTCACACACACGCCCTTGTCAAGTGTCTTGCATACCCTCCAACCACTTGCCGAACATTCCTCATCATATGTCCGAAACTCCTATCACTTCACTGAAATCCTGAAATCCTTCAATAACCAATAAACAGACATCCTCGTCAGCTTTGACGTAGTATTCCTTTTCACAAATATCCCACTATTCGAAACCTTATCCCTTTTCAAAACGGAACATTAAATTCCGCAAAATTCGATCCACCGCATCATCCACTGCGTGTCCAGCACATATTTCCGTTCCCACAAACAAGTGAAAGGCACCCCAATGGGTTCTGCACTATCTCCAGTCCTTGCAAACCTTTACATGGAAGACTTTGAAACCAGAGCTATTGACAAGTCTCATTTCAAACCCACGTGTTGGCTCTGATATGTGGATGACGTCTTTCTTATTTATATGGCCCCACGGATCCGAAGGTCTCCATGCATTCTTGAACCACATCAACTCCTTACACCCTGACTTAAAATTCACAATGGAAGTCGGAAATGATAACTCACTTCCATTCCTGCACGTTCTCATCACAAAGTCCAACAACTCTTTCTCACACACTGTCTAACAAAAACCTATCCATACATATCCATGATGATGCATCCTGCCCAGCAGAATTCCGTTTTGAATTTCCTCATACATCCTTTTATATGACTCACTGACAATCACAACACATTCAAGGAACTAGTCAAACTCAAAGCCGCCCTTCACCAAAACGACTTACATCCATGGAGTTACCTACAAAGTAAACCGAATTCTGAAGAGACCGAACGTAAGGACAGTATTCACAACTAACAATCAAACATCACCTTGAAACAGGCCACACAATAAGCTTCAAAAACACCAAAAAACTCTTCACTCTTCAGGCCAGGATAATATGAGATCTGTTCAAATTTTTTTATATTTTTTATGTTAATACACACGTCTCGAACATATGTTCACAGTTTTAGCTGTTTATCATGTGTAGTTTGTTGATGAGTGGCATAAAAGTTCGAAGTGTTTTGCGTGTTCAGAAATTTTCTGATATCGCCTCAGAACATCAACAATCGATGAAAATATTAAGATAGTGAAGAAAATTGTTATGGGGAATCGTCGAATCACTATTACAGAAGTATATAGCTGAGGATGTCTACATGAAGCGTGTGGCAGCAAAGGTCTTTCCAAAATTAATGAATTTTGATAAAAAAAACGTCGCATGAGCATCGCTCAGGAGAATCAGATCTGTCAACGGAGAATCAGATTTGTTTGAAAGGGTCATATCTGGAGACGAATCATGGGTATATGGTGATGACATCCAAACCAAAGTCCAATTGTCCCAATGGAAGAGCCCAAGGAGAGCCAATAAAACAAGCACGCCAAGTTTCATCAAATGTCAAGGTTTTGCTCACCGTTTCTGGTTCGTACGTTTTTGGCCAAAAACAACACCGGCCTCAGCCAACGTATTCATCAGATTTGGCCCCCTATGACTTTTTCCTGTTCCCAAGATTGAAGAGACCCATGAAAGAACGGCGTTTTGCGACGATTGAGAAGATAAAAACCAAATCGCTGAGAGACTCAAGGACATACCAGAAAGTGTATATCAGAACTGTTTCGAGGATTGGAGAAAACCCTGGCACGAGTGTATTATATCTGAGGAAGACTACTCTGAAGGGAAATAGAAATTGATGAATACATAGATAGTGCTTGAGAAAAATTTAAATTCGCTTAATTATGCGAACAGACCATGTATATACAAATTGAATGATAAAATGTGATTGATTCAGCACAAGAACTAATGTGAATTTCGCACAATAATAATGATGATAAAAATACTTACCACTATTGCACAACAGAATGCAGCAAGTAAAACATACATGCTAATCTCTAGTGGAGTAGAATGAGGTGTTGCTCTCTGTTTTGGAACGCCCTTATTGTTACCTTGATACTGACGAGCCTGAACATTTGGTTCCTGAGAGTCTTCATCATTTGAGGGAGAACCTGTGAAAGAAAACAAAGTTATTACAGAATAAGTTCTTGAAAATGTTGGTTTTAGTAGTTGCAAGAAACTAGATGAATGAATCAATCCAGAAAAAGAGAAAAGAAATGCATTTCTCTCTCGGATTGTAATGATAAAAATAATGCTGAAACTGAAATAAAAAGAAAAGTAGACTACTAGATTGAAATATTCAGAGTAACTTATTGACTTCATTATTTGGATTTTCTATCGTTTTTTCATTTCAGTTTATTTACCAACTGATTTGAGCGTATAATTAGCTGGGTATACAGATGACACAAAATTTCACACTTTCGAAAGCATAAAAAAATCTAGTGTCACGTAGAGATCTCAACAATTTCAGAGAAATTTCATTTATTCTATGACTGTTCTCCAAGTCATGTTGGGTGATACTAGAAATTTCTGGTCTTCAAACTGGTTTGCTTAGTCTGTCAGTCCTCACAGCTCATTTCATATATTCCCAAATTTTCATTTTCCAAAATTTCGTCTTTAGGGTTACCTAACATTTGTTGAAGTGAGCAATAAGTTTTGATGGCTATACGTTCAACTTTTTGAAAATACGATCTAATCTTTTACTGTATCTTGGTTCATAGGGAAGGAAAATGAATTTTGAAACTATGTATTTTCGAAAAAACTATATAGATCAGTTCAAAACTGAACAATTTCAAAAAAGCTGTATCGGGTGTTAATATTTAGAATAAATGTTAGAGATTTGGTAAATTGGTTATAGTTAAATTATCTTTGCAAAAAGTATTGGAAAAATGTAATATTCATTCATCACACTATAATACATCAGCAGATTTTTTGTTCAACACTACTTGATACAAGCTAGCTGCCAGCTGCAGGATCTTGTTGGAATACAATAAATTCAAATTTGTCTTAAAAAATATTAGAACATTGATTTTATAGCATTAATGGATGTATGGATTCATTCAGGCACTTCAATATTCAACACTGGCATAACAATGGTTTTTAATTGAAATCTTGTGTGTTTTAATTCAATTAGGTTAGGTTAGGTCCAAAGTGAGTGGACCTATTCGACCCTCCACCGCAACCCGCAAGGTTTATTTGTTACTCACATCTATTCACACTCTACCAAATAAACCCAAATTTTTAACGAAGCCGATTAGTTTACATGGTGAGTGGTCTTTCAGATCAGATGGTAAGGGTACGGCTCTGCGGAACTCTATAAACCTGATTCGATCCCCAGCGGGGCAGGCACAAAGTATGTGCTCTGCTGTTTCATCATTTTCCAAACAGAGGCGACACACTCTTTCTTCCGACAGTCCGAGTCTCTGCATATGATGATTCAAATGACAGTGACCTGTAAGAAGGCCTGTTAGACATCTTAGTTAATTCCTACTGTAGTCCAACAATTGTTTGGTAGCAAGCTTCGAAGGGTGAATAAACGCCTTGGCGTTTATTCCCCGCAGGCACAAAGTATGTGCCTACGGGGCAAGCACCGAATCAGGCTGGGGACCGAGACGGGTTTTGCAAAACCTCAAACATTTTCTCAAGCTTTTTCATTCCGCCATATTTGACAGTCTTTGTTTTCACCAAAAAACAGAAACATTTCAGTCAATTATCCCATTTCCGACACCAAATGTTACGTTATTGCCCCGTGGGTTGACCAATAATTGACTACGCTGAACAATAATCAAACTTAACTTTATTTCACTTTGAATACAACAAACACTTTAACTAAAACTTCAACTATTATTAGAATGTCTATCGCCTCACTAGATCGCTTCGCGTACCGCACTGTAACTTCCACTTGACTGTGTCGAAATACTCCTGGCTAGCGTTTATATATCGTAATCGAATACGGCAGAATATTTGCAAAAATTCCATCGAAATCGGTAGCATTGTTCGTGCTACATCAAGAGCGCCAGCGAACATCGTACATTCGCGCGCTCTTAGCTACGTCACAATTGGTTTATGGATACCAGTAGCGGCAGGCGTTATTTTCTTCAGGACATTATTTACAACAATATAACATTCAAATGTGCAACATTTCTTTGATGCGATGCTAGAAAACCAACAACAGATGGGACGCTCCAATGTTGCCCTATATTACTCTGTTTAAATTCAAAGGGGTATATTTTATTGCTGATGCAGAATGATTTGTAGACTTCTTGTGCGACACAGTTATCTCACAATGCTCTATTACATATCTGTACCTAGCTTTTGGCCTTATACTTCTCAATATATGGAAATTTCCAGAGGAATGAAATATTACAATTACCTTTCAAAATATCCTGCAGATCTGAAAACTCTCTTCCTTTAGTGCCACCATAGCTGCCTCCATCGTTTTGTAAGATATCTGGTCTGTGTGCTGAATCAGTGCTAAAATCTACAGTGATACTTGCTGCAGCAGTACCGAGTGGACCTGCAGATTTCATCTTCGGTCTACCACTGTTCCTACACTCTTCTGCCAACAGAAGAGTAACCTGAAGAAGATCTCCACTTCCTTCACCTACGGCTATGACTCGTGGATGGTGAGAAGCGACCATTGGGGCAAATGCTACCACCTCAGGATCCAGACTTTCAACAACTAAGTGATAATCCGTATCAGAGATGTCCCGAAGAGGAGTTTTTTGACCATCTGAGAACTCTAGCTCAATATCTAGAAGACCTTCCTGTGTTAACATGAAATAAATTAGATGGTTAGAGTAAGTAGTTCTTTTAGCTAGTCCTAATTATAAAAATAATTTGAAATCTCTCTGATACAAACCTGATACTGGGCAGTTAATTTTCTTGTTATGCCTGTCTCCGCAACATATACGTTTTCCAGGGAACTGTCGGGTGAAATGTTGAGTTGCAATCCAGAAACCACTTGTACGGAGAGTCTGCTTAGAGCAACCTTGTCATTGCCCACTCTTACTTCTTTGGAACCATATACTCTGCTGGTTATTGGAGACAGTACCTAACCAATAGACAAAAATGTAATGAAAATTCATTGATGAAAACTATTCATTGGGAAATGTGATTATTGAAATGCCAATTCAAGTTTTGATTTTGTTTTGCGTTGTGGATGATATTCTGAAAGCTATCCTTCGATATTGCAAAGTGTTTAAACAGCTTTAGTAATATATATTCGAAAATTAGATTAAAATTAGAGATGGAAAAGAACATTTGCATTCTTTTCTTGGATACTTTAACTATATTGGTTGATTATATAGAAGGCCTAAATCTGAAAGTTTGGCAAATTGTCTGAATCACGTAACCACCAGAATAGACTGTGGTACCACTTTAAAATAGAAATACATTGAAAATGAAGTTTTCTAATGTCGATAAAGTATCGAATGACCTTTAGTCCGATGAAATTTATAACATTCAATGTGGAAATTGTGACCACATGTATATTGGGCAAACAAAATATTTACTAAGTAACAGAGTAAAATAACACAAAAGTAATTCCGCTGTGAGAACAACCCGAGTATTTCGTCCGTTGCCAGATTGCCTTTAATAATATCTTCCGTAGTAGTAGACAAAACGGCAAATACAAAAACATGCAGACCACGACTAACAAACCGGAAACATAGCTCTGATTCCGAATAGAAATGATCTGTATTGGCAGCAACGCAAATTCAGTTAATAGACAAACAGACATTGAACATCTCTGTGGCATCTACAATAATATGAATGGTTGCTCATTTGTTACCTGAATGGCACTTTACACAAAAACATCTGATTTTTTGAAACTGGTTAGTGATGAATATGTATTCAATTTTGTTCAATATATTTTATCTATTTGATCAGTCTGGTTTTGTTCATTGTTAATCACACTCGAAAGCTGTGACCATTGTTGTAATGACACATATAATTCGTATATTTCGACTATGTAGTATCATGCACCATTAATTTCTTTCGAGGTGATTTGAAATAGTAATTCCTCTTGAAATATGTGTACATTGTTTCAGTTTCGAACTGATGTATCATATATTTACAGATTTTAACAGTTTTAGTTCGTAGCTTAGCTCTAAAATGGTGAAAAACAATTTCACAAAACGTCAGAGAAGACGCGAGAAGATACCCAGGTATCAATATTTAAAAAAGCTTGAACATCTTCCGAATTAATATTCCAATTCAATTCCAATTTATTCATTCAGTTAACATTCAGTTAACATAAATATTCAGTTAAATCAAGTTAAATAATTAGATTACATGAATAACTATTTTATGTGCTATTTTGAATTCATTAAAAAGTCGAGAATTACACCTAAGCATAGAATATGCTTGTATTGTGCCAATTCTCCCAATTCAAATGAATCCTTATGACTATAGAAAACAAAACAAAAAGTTTTCATATTATATGTTATATAATATATTGGAGAGAGAAGGTAAGTGCAATGGACCAAAGAAAGGAGTGAGAGCGGGTATTTCATGTATGAATAACTCCTTGGAATTTTTGTATGATAAAAATTTGTGTCAGATTTGTACTAGGGGATTCAAAAGATATTGTTAAATATTGTTGCATTTTCAGCGAGGTATAATTTTATACCTTATATAATAGAGAAGTGATTTTTAAATAGGATATGAATTATACTCCAGAGAGTGAATAGCTATATGACTAACACTGATTCAGGAGACCATGATCTAAAAACATACAGTATGGAGTCTGACAAGACACCATAATTTGATAGATCGAGATATTTGAAATTATTAATTTCAAATTTGCCCTGAGTAATCATCCAATTGAAGAAGACAAGACGATTCCGTGTTTCAAGGCAAGTAGATGAGAATAAATGTAACTCACCTGCACTTCTGTTCTTCCAACACTTCTTCCTTGCAGAACTCTTCCATGGAGACTAGCAATCCTTGGATCACTGACTCGAAGCCAAGGTAGTACTAAATCGGTCACTCGTAGATATGTCCTTCTATTGATCAGGTAAGTGGTACGACCTGACGTGTGATCCGAAGCAAAGAAACGCGCGTACACTTCAACAGACGTTTGTTGATATCTGAGTCGACAAATTGGTTTCTCGATGACATTACCCATATCGTCAGTAGAACTCATACCCCAACCGCTGCTAAAGGAGCGTTTTTTTCTTCTCGATTTTGAAGCGCTAGAGATGAAAAGCATATATTGAATTTCGATCTCTGAATAATTCAACTCAAATACAAATGAATGGAAGAATACTTCTCACAAATAAGAAGTATAAGTCTACTTGATATTGCAATATAATGCAAATTTTTCTTATCAAAAATATGGTTTTCTGGGCTATTGATGGTGAAACATGGGCTATTTATTGATGGTGATTTGAGTTTTCCGTATTTGTACCTATACATTTGAAATAGGTGAATGAATCAGTGTATGCAGTATAATGAATTATAAAGGTAATAAGATACTCTCTAATCTATCATAGTGGCGGGTTGGCTGTCCTTGTTCATCTTTCACTGCCTGACCCACTGTGCATGGCGAGTGCATTGGCTTGGAATGTGGGGGTTGAGCAAAACTGCCATGGGATGCCGGATACGGGAATGACAGAATCACTTGTGGTTCTGTTATTCCCTAACTGAATGGCATCCCAACGATGGTTTAATCCTAAGGTGGGTGTATCCGTGCCGAGAGGATAATGACACTGAACCTATCAGCTGTCTCTACGGAACCTTCGAGATACCGGGCACCCTTTCGTCGTAGCATCACCTTGTCACGGTAATGCAGGGCTCTGCCGTGATTGACCTTCTATCTAGTGATTGACCTGATAGGTAAAGTGATCACCGTCTTTTTCCGGACGAATTAACAATAGCTATCTGTCAAAGACAAATGGAAATAATTCATTGGTTGACGCCATATTGTCTCCGTAAACACCGGCCGGGTCCGTGCTCGTCTTCAGATTTAATGGTGAAATGATTGTGTTTTATGGTATCTGATCTAAGGTGAGTGATTTGAATATAGTTAAAAAGTAATGTCATCAGTTTCATAGGAAGACAATGCACGATTTTATCGATTCAGTGGATTAATTGAGTTGTTCATTTCGCTGCAAAGTGGATCAATAATATAACCTCATTTGTCATTTTTTGTATATTTTTTTCACCGCATGCTAAATCGGGTAAAATGGCCCACCAATAGGTAAGGTAAAGTAACCTGGTGGGCCACTTTACCTCCTTAGTGCTTATTTTTTCTGCAAACAAATAATGTTTTGTGTTCTTCAGGTATGACAAATAAATACACACGGACGTCACAGCAGCAGATATGCAGTTCAGAGATAATGTATAAAGCTATACAAGCTGTACGAAAAGGTGAAATGGACTTCTTGAAAGCAAGCGAAACCTTCGGTTTTCCTCGAACAACGCTCAAACGGCGTTTAAACGGAAAAAACAAAGACGCCGTTGAAAATATAAAAATACTGGGGTCTCGTCGTCCAATTTTTAGTCCAAAACAAGAGAAAGAATCAGGATGTTAATATAAATACAGCAGCTGCAGTTACTCCACCAACATTTGATCCTTACTTAAACCCGCAACCCAGAACATCCTTAGCAATATCGCCTTGCAACATATTTCCGATTCCCAAAGCTAAGACTAAAACTGCGAATAGAAAAAGGGGGCGTACGGTAATTTTAACCAGCAGCTCATATAAAAATGAGTTGCAAGAAGAAACAATACAGCAAGAACAAAAGAAAGCTACAAGGAAAGTGAAAAAAGCTACTATTGAATCAACCCCAACTAAAACTGCAAAAAAAAATTTGAAACTAAAATAAAAAAACGTGGCACGAACGTTGCTAAAAAGAAAAGTAACAAATATACTGACGACGATGATGTCATAGATGATAACTCTGAATGTTTTCACTGTGGCGAAGTTTGGTCTAAATCAAAACATGAAGATGGTTGGATACAGTGTTCTAGTTGTAAGCCATAGGTCCATGAAGAGTGCTCGGGTTGTGATTTCAACAATGATAACTTTCATTGTGAATTTTGTTCCTAAGAATATTTTCTATTAGGTTAGATTATGAATGAACACATACAAATGAAAAGGTTGTTACTTATACTCTATAGATTAGTAACTAAAAGTTGATTTAATTTATCTTCCTCTTGAAGATGATCACTTGGTGATCGAAACACGTGTCGAGGTGTAAAAATAACGATTTGGTGTTGGGAAAAAACTCCAGTAATATTCATTACTACACCAAAGGTTCCAAACAGTACATCATAAGTAATTTGTTATTAATGAATAATTGAGAAGAAGCTAACAAGTTGAGACTTAATTTTTGTAATTAATATAAAAGGCTGTTGATAAGTAAATAAAGACTGTTTATGATGAGTAAACGTAAGTATATTTAAATCAAGAAAAATAAAATACTCTTGATTATTGTGAATTAACATACTTACTGAATTAAAAACTGTTTAATTTAAATATTTTTTCCAAGCAAAATTTCGATAAATCTGTATTAAAATAACATAATTTTGATGTTTTATTTGAAGTAGGCCACTTTACCCGTTTAAGAATTTGTATATGCCATTTTACCCGACCAGGATAGGTAAAGTGGTCAATTTCCCATTTCGACTTCTATCTTGAATTATGCTAAAATTATCAAAATATTTGTCTGTAAACAATGTAACATCGAAACTTAATGATTACACGGATAATAATAAACAAACGAACTGTAAAAAGGTTGACATTTATTCGGTTGGCGTGGGTTTAAAGCTTAGGGTGGCCACTTTACCCTATCTTCCCCTACTCGTGGGAGTTTTATGGGCAGAGTAAACTTAAACATTCTTTCTGACCCTAAACCGAGCAAAGTTTGTACCACAGATCTGCTAAATGGGAAATATATTCAAGACTGTTTCTAAGCTTTCTCATAGTGTTTCTGAAGTAACTGAGGTTATTCTATCAGTCACGAATGTATAAATATATTCTTTTCATATTGTTAGTCTATGAACCAGGACAAAAACCCAGTGAAATCCCAACGAAAGTAAGGAACTGCACAACCAGGTAATTAGGAATAAACCTAACTTTGCCAAACCTAATGGTTCTATACCTAAATCTCTCCATTCAGTGTTGAAGTCGTTGGTCAAAATTTCACCAAGGCTATATTCAACCACTAACACATGCGAACAAAGAAAAATTTACTAGATAAACAATTTGCATTCATTTTCACAGTAGATTTTCAGAAATATACACAACGTTTATGGATTGAACAGTATATTGAAAAAAATTGCTGATGGTTTATTAGATCCCCTAACCAACCTTATCAATATGTGCTTCTTGACTCGAACTTTTCCCGATGTATTCAAAGAAACCAGTTATTCCGATTCACTAAAGTTGCGACAAGGACAGCCCAGCAAATTACCGATCTATTTCGATAACCCCGATTATTGGGAAGTTGATGGAGAAACTTGTGAAAAACAGACAAATACTGTACTTGGAAAAATATAAAATTCTAAATAAGAGACAGTTCGGTTTCAGAAGTTGTAGATCCACGGTTCAAGCCGTGAAGGAGGTGGTGGGCGATATAGTTGAGTGCTTTGAAGCAGGTCAAGTAATTGCTATGACACTTTGCGACCTCAGCAAGGCGATCTCACTAAATCACTATCGACCCGAACTGGCTTTGTACAGATAGATATGCTCATTTTTTTCTGTCATAATGTAACGCAGGAGTTTGTAACTGGTGAATAAGGACATTTGATAAATAAAATTGACTCAAACAAAAGTTAAATGAGGGAATTGGCCGATACTTGATGAAAATCCATAACTAACGTTAAGTGAGATTTTCACTTAACAATTTTACAAAACGCAACACGTGTTTCGCCATAAAATGGCTTCTTTACTAACTGTTAATGAAGACACGCTCGAAGAAACCATTAAGTAACAATTAGTAAAGACACGCCCGAAGTACCCATTGTATGGCGAAACATGTGTTGCGATTTTGTAAAACTGTTCAGTGAAAATCTCACAATAAATTGTTTTTTGAATACGTTCAAGCAAAACTATGTTCAAAAGTATCAATTGTAATTTTGAACTATGTAAGTTTCTATTTACCTGATGACAAAACAAAACAAAAATGCCACCTCAATCTTCATTGATTCATTGAGTAAAACAAAATCAACGCAATTGCAACCTTTGGGTTTGCGAGACCGCTAGATTCTTGTTCACTCGACAGTTTCAATTTTGTAGTAAGTCCTAAGATATTGATTTGTGTTGTGGGTGTAAACGAAAATTATATCGTGCATGAAATGCTTATGGAAACTGACGCATTCATTTCTTAAGAATCAATATTGTATTCTTCTGAATAGCTTTCCAAATAGCTTCTAAATAGCTTACCACATTACATGTGACATTATTTTGAACATTGAAATGGCATATATCTATCTTTAAAAGATAGATATATGCCATTGCGGACTTTTTTGTAGATCTATAAAAGAATAACGAAACGTAGTGAAATATTTCATTATATCTAAAAGGAATTGGCAGCATTTTCGATGAAAGTTCGTAGGATAGCACCACCGCCCTGACTTTTCATGGATAACATCTTCATATTTCAACCAATTCACACAAACATTATAATTATATATACATAAATTACTTTGACCATTTGTGAAAACTTTTTGAGAATACGTTCAGGAGTTTTTGACTTTATCGCAATTAGACAGATAGACAAGGCTGGGGGTCTTGTAATATGTAGTGATTTAATTGAGGACTTAATAATAATAAGGATTTAATAAGGACCTGTAGAATCCATTGGGGAAAGATAAAACTTTTTTTGGAATGAAATTGTTAGTTACTAATTAACTAACAGGTTTTGGGTCTGGTAACCAAAAGAATTGTGGTCAGCGACCAAAATGGTTAACAAAGTTACAAAGGGGACTCGATATTCAAACTCAACCCACCCTCTGGTGGTCGGACTGAATCGGCTTAAATGTATACATTATAAAAAAGAATTCGTTCAGTATTGTCCGAGAGTAAGAGAATTTCAAGAATGCAAACATGTCGCTACATCAAAGAAAGCAACATAGTCGTCTCAAGCAAATAGTACTGCAATTCACCCACAAAATCATTGAGATATGTCTACCCTCTATATCCCTTGAGGACGCCGTTAACGAGCCATTAAAATAGAGATATGCGACAAAGAACGCGAAAACACCGACAAAGAATGCAAAAATACTGCCAAAAGAACCGCTCGATGTTTTTCCTGATATTATGTTTAAGATAATATTAATATGCGTCGGACTGGGGGTATTAATATAAATTTTCCATTGATATATTCTGTATGATGAGAATTAAATGTATGGTGAAAACTAATTTTGTTTGAATATTATATTTTGGGAAGGACAATTTATATTTGAAATAGTTTTTTAATATTTAGAATTGTTACCTTCTACAGATCTATAAAATAATCAGAATATTAAATTTACAAATAAATACAAATGTGGAAAGGGCAAAAAGTTACTGCATTTGATAAATTAGCTTTTTGGAAAAGAAATTAAATTTGTCATTAACTTGAATTTAAAAAATTTTACATATCAAAAGAAATATGTATCATCTGGTGACGTTTTAAAGACTCTAGCCATTTCCTTTATCCAACTTATTTAAATCAAAACATTATAATTTGAAGTTATGATTCGTCTTTTGATGTAAATAAATTTGATATTATTATTATCATTGACACCGATAATATCAAATTGATCGTCGGTATTCGAAACATCACCAGATAAGTATACAAATAGAATAGATTTCCGCGGTTTAAAATTTGAACATATTTCGAGTTGAACCGCGATCAAAATTTTGCGTTGTTCGACGTTTCGGCTTCGACTTTGACATTTTCAGGAAGTAGAAAAGTGTGGCTGCACTGAGAGATACACTTTATATATTCTTGTTAGTTTGGAAATGAAAATTCTTATTCCTTATTGGATTTTATAGTTGATTCAGAAACTGTTTTATAGATTTAATGGGAATACTTACTTTGAATAAGACATTGCGATAATTTTAATCTGAAAAAAGTCTACAGGAATTCGTTGAGTGATTCTTCACTGGATGAATTAGTTTCATTAGGATTTATGACAACTGGAATAATTTTTTCTGATAATGAGTTTATGCGATCATCCAGATCCCACAATCTCGATTCTGATTGTTTTGTGGATACATTTTTCCCAAGCTTTTTGGTCGACTGTTTCCAGAGCACTGTATAGGTATTTCTTTACTTTACACAGCTTGAAGGTCTTATTATTCCTTTAAGTTGAGTCCAAACCAACTCTATTGGATTCAATTCACAGTGATAAGGCGGCAACCGAAGAACCGACATTCCTTCAGTCTTCGCCATCTCATCGGTAACATACCTGACGAATTTTGACTTATGACGTTTAGCCAAGTTGAGAAGCTCCGCTTTTAATATGGTCGATTCAAAAGGAATAACTTTCACTTGTAATCACTCAGTAATATCTGCTTTCTTCCAACACGACGTCGGCAGCTTCTCGACTCGTCTACTGTGGTAACTTGCGTTATCCATTACTATTCCCGATCCCTGCGGAAGTTTCACAACTATGTTTATAAATCATTATTCGAATACTGTGGCATCCACTTCTTGATGATAATCCCCATTTTCCTTCGATTCAAACACCATCAATCCATCTTTCACGAATCCTTCACTGCTGCCTATGTGAGTGATGATAAGACGACGACCTTTTCCAACTGGAATTTTCAAACCAGTGGACCAACCTTCCATAAAGGCTTGTCTTCCACTTTTGATGTTCTGATCTTGCTAAATCTTCAAGACCGTATGACCCTCATTGACCCATGTTTCATCCAATAAAAAATAGAATTACCTAGTGCTCTGGTTTTCTTTATTTCTCTTGAATAGTTTCTTCTCTATTCTACAATCTCTGATTTTTCTATTAACATGCTCTTTCTATCTTGCTTTCAAAAAGTGAAATTCAGCTCATGTAATATTTTCTATAATCGAGTTCTTCTTATATCAGGAAAAAAACTGTCTTTACGAATAACTTACAAAACTTTATTTAATGTAGGTATTTCGTTTTTTATGTAAAAATAGTGTACTGTTCTCCTAATAGAATTCTTCACTTCTTCATCGATAACCAAACTCTTTCTACCGGATACTTTCGGCTCGAAAAAGTTGTTGTTTTGCATGAGTTTCTTGAGAATTCTAAAAATTGTCGATCTATTGACACCGGTCATACTCGCGCATTTTTGCACTTCCTCCTTACTTTTTATTTCGGGCGGATATTGTATTTTCAAAGAATTATATACATTCATTGTAGTCTGTTGTACTATTCCGTTGTAGTATTCCGTATCAATAAATGGATCGATGAGACATGAATGAGCAACCCCTGATAAGGTAACCGAAGGGAACGGGGATTATTCAGTTTTGTCTAGGCGGTCGGTTAGTGAACAAGGGTTTTATTCAATATTACATTCATAACAATTGTTTTTTCATTTATATTTAATGGTGACAATTTCGAACGATTCACGATTCCCGAACAAATAGCTTCCATGTTGTATAGCTGTTTATTCAACGCGCTCTCGAAGTAAACTGAAGAATATCACGAATAACCCCGCTAAAAAGCCAAGTCGGTCTTATTGATCGGTGCGATGTGTCTGTTGACAGTATAATTCAAAGGAATATATATTTATAACGCCTTCAAAAAAACAATGTTTTTCCAATCTCCTTCAACTAAATACCTATTTGTTGGAGAATGTCTTGGTTACTACTGGACATATTTTAACATTTGTCATAGTAGATTTGTTATTTTGTTTGTTATGAATGATATTTTTCAAGAATAAATATTGTATTTTCGTCGAGTGCAGATTATAGTGAACAGTTATTTATTCATGAAACGATTCATCCAATATAATGTCATAACGAGGAAACATTTAACAGTCGAATTGAAAAGTGTGTTTTCAAAAGTTTCTCAAGAGTCAACCCTGGGTCGGCTATTGAACTTCCTCGCTGTTATGTAGCTATAAACGTTAATTGTTTAGTACAATTAGTAGCTCCATTCAACGCCTCTGCAGCGTAATAACTATCTGGACAACATAATTTACCTGGGGTGATAATCCGGCACCCTCCATGATTTAAGCTGCGATAATCTGGTGTCGGCGACAGATAACTCCAATGGAAATTCCGGCATCCACACCGTAAATTCTGCCAGTCCCGTATAAGTTCCATACTTAACCAAAACGGAGCCATTCACTGAGCCTCGGGCTTCGCTGCCATCCACGTACACTGATCCACAAGAAGATGACACCTGAAATAGAATTGAGAATATAATTTGTTTCCTTTTTTTTTAATTTCGATGTACTGCACCATTGTAATAGGTAAGTACACAAATACCATCCTCTCCATCAACAAAAAAAAAAACGTTACAAAAAATTTTCACTGGTAATACCACTAGAGGTCAAATTATTCCGGAATCCGGAATTTTTTTCGAGCTCATGAATATTTTTAGAAAATTTCCCTCTTCTGCGACGAGCGGGAAAAAGTTCCGGATATTAATTTGACCTCGCGTGGTATTCGGTAAGAAAATTCCACATCGAATTGTGGTGAAAAATCAAATATTTTAAAAATTCATTTTTCCATTCTCAACAATGCAAATTATTTTCTTCAACTCACCAGCGCAACATAAAGTGTGTGGTCGACTTGATTGTTGAGTCGCCATGGAACTAAGTGAGGCCCTAACCTCGAAATTATTATTTCAGTTTTAAAGCTGTTAAGCGGCACGATGTAAAAAAATCTTTCGCTTCGGTCAAGAAAGTAATGAAAATATTCGCCAGGAGATTGAGCAGTTGACATCCGCGAATACCAAGAAATCGATGTCAAGCGTATGGAGGCAGTTTACAAACTTTTGCACAAAAAAAGCGTATAATTTCAATTGTGAAAGAACTGGCCCTTATTCTTGAAGACTATGAGTCCAAAATGCGAAAAAAGAATTACGGAGACTACAAGGAGAGTGTTATCCAAATTTTATGGAATTCCACAGCCAATCAGTTGCAGGAATATTTTTTTGAAAAGTATAATCCGCAAATTTAATCCATTCTCTGACATAGAATTTTTGAACGCAAGAACTGCAAAAAATGCTAAGCGTCGGAAGCTACAAATGGATACAACCAAGAGAAAGGAAAGTTCATCTGCACTACCAGCAGACGAGCTGAGAAAAATTATTGACCTTTGGGACGAAAACACTCAGGAAGGGCTGCAGAAAAAGTTTTTCCACGTTGCTGGTCATGAATTGGCCTGGACAGGAAATGAAGGAGCGGCAGCACAACTCGAATATTTTGTGGAGGAATATAAAGGGGAACCAACAGACCGCATTGAGTATAACCCGGTTTTCTCCAAGACCACCCAAGGCGGTTCAAAGAAAATGTACAGAAAGTGCCTAGTACCGAATACACTTAACGAAGAAATATGCCCAGTGAGACTGTTTAAAAAACTAACAAGCAAGCGGGGCCCCATCAGAACTAAGCGTTTATTTTTGACGCCAAATCCAAGCTGGAAGAATCCCGGTTTCAAAGGCTGGTACAAGAACAGTCCAGTTGGACAGAACACAATATCATCCTGGTTCAAATCCGCTGCATCATTGATTGGAATTGATGTTTAAAAGATCAAAATAACAAATCATTCTGTAAGCTAAAACCTTAGCCAAAACGGGAATTGAAGAACATCAATTGATTAAAATAACCGGTCATGGTAGCAGCCACTAAATAAAACCATATCTCCAAATAGACTCGGGCCATCATCAGGAAATAATTGACGCAATGAGGTCTGTTTTAACTTCGGCAAAAACAATTCAAGGATCTCTGAATTAAGAACAAGCAACTACTTCCAATCAACTCGCCATAGTTTATAATAATTGCATTTTCCATATAAACAATAATTACAATAGTCAACATAATATAAATAATTAGATTTATTACCACTTGTAACCATTCATATAAAACAAAAAACTCATCTATTTTTTTATGTTATTTTTCAACTTCTGGAAACCTTGTTAGCCAAATATAATAAATTTACATTGCGTCGAAGTTTCGGTGTCATTCTCTTGGTATGGGTTCACAAGTCTACGATAATTCTGAAATTTTTATTCATTGTAGTTGCATGAAAATGGCAACCTAAAGCGTAATATAATATATTCTTCTATTTTATATAAATTTTGGATTACTGCAAGTGGTAGAAAGTTATAATTTTATCAAATTTGCAGTTTCGGTACTGGTCATGTAATGGCTTCTCAGCCTGCCCTTTAAGATATTGTTTTTACTCATTGTAGTAGTTACACAGTAATGCAGTTTTATAATGAAATATGTTACATTCTTTGATTTTTTTTATTTACTTCGGGATATTACAAGTGGTAGAATGTGAAAAAATAGTAGGTTTATAGATACATATCTTCAGGAACAGATTACATGATCACACCAATGGACTCTTTATAAACTGTTAATTTTTACTGACTGTAGTCGCTCAAAAGTGCCATTCAGTGGCAAAAAATATAATATTCTTTCAATTTATAGTTACTTGAGCTCACTACAAGTGGTAGAAAATTATAATTTTAGAGGTTTTTCGGGAAGCTGCATAAACAGATTCACAGAGCGTCATAGCTTTGGCAGCTATTATTTAGGCCTTCAGATTGGTAATTTCCACCCATTGTAATTGCATGGGAATACCATTTCAAGATATAAAATCGTATATTCTTCAATTTTACATGAGTTTTGAGTAACTACAAGTGGAAGAATTTTTTTTTGTGTTTTTATTAATGTGGGTTATGCGTGCTTATGAATATTGCACAGCCAGTAAAACCAACAGAATTCTTTGTTTGAAAATGAATCGATTTGAAAATCATACTAAATGCAAAATATGCGTGAAATTGTCTGATGTAATGATCAATCATCGTACCATGACTTATTTAATCGCATTAATAGAATGAAAACTACATTTAGAAATTATGCATTTCTTTCGGGGTTTGGATTTTATTGTGAAATATAATATCCAGTAATAGACTGATAATGTTATCGATCTTTATAGTCATTGTTGACCCAATTTAATGCAAAGGCATTTACAACCGACATTGGCAACTGCAACTGGCAACTGGGACAAATCATTGTATCTGCCACGGAGCCGCAACCACAATAATTATTTGGTCTCTTGAGCAGAGATCACTACCATTGTTCCATTATAATATGCATAGGACAAGATGAAATATGTTCGAGAAATTATTGTTTCTGGAAGTCTAGATCTTTTTATGCAAGTTTATGGAAGTTTTGGAAGTTTTATAAAATAGATTTCTTCATGTTTTAATTTTCCGTACCCAAGCGTTATTTGAATCGCTCGAGAGAAAAAAAGACTGATAAGGCTTAATTGAACAAGGATGCAAAATTAGATGTACATCACAAAAGCTCTGCATATTATTTTGTGATTTATACAATGCCGATGATACAGAGGCCAATTGAAGAGCATATTCGGTCATCTTCTACCCAACTGAAATATTTTCGAAAATATTATTTTTGGAATCTATAATTACCCTATACCTATCTCCTATCTGTTACCGTTTTCGAAATATGACTTAATTTCAATTTATTTCTTCGGAAATCATGACCTCTAAAAATGCTGATATCTCTGAGTTGAGGAATACTATGTATGGTTCCGAAATTTAGATTGGAGATAGGTGATACTTGGAGGCTCCCCACAATTCAGCGTAATCTCCATTACTTCAATGCAGGGTGGTAAAAATACAGTTTATTAATTTGTTTGAAAAACTGACTGAAAGTTGATTATTTCAAATGGAACACCCTGTGTATTATTAGAAATTCAGAAAACTGTTAACATTTCTTTTCTTTCTATGTATACCATGCGTATACCTAACTAGTCAAGTTTCGGACTTAACATTTATTTGTACAAATTTCCCTTCAGAATGGTATTCCTTTTCGGTATTTTGTAAGCAGGCCATGATTACTATTTGACACTAACATTGTGACATTTCCCTAATAATATTGAAATTTTCGTCACTTCAGAAGTTGCAAATACCTTCAAAACGATGGAACAAAACTATTCAAACGAAGTTCTTATGAATTTGTTTATTATTTTTGGACAGTGTGACAAAATTATCAGCAGAACATGTTGAATGTTCAACGAAAGGTATCCGAATCTACCGCAAATGAATCTCAAGAAATTTATGCGAGCAAAAACTTGAAAGTGATAACATTTTTGAATATAAAATGAAGAGACCTTTCAAACGATATATCACAAACATATACTTGGGGGTTGTACCTGTCATTCGAAGGGGGTTTAAGGTAGGGTTGGCATTTTTACGTCGAAGAATGTCAAATTATAATTTACATTTGACGTGTTTCGGGTTTTTTTTGTTCACAGTAACCGAAATAATGAATTTATTCCATTTGGCTTTTACACAATGTATATAAATAAAACCCATTCAAAAGAATCGATGTAAGTTTTTCGTGACAAAACGTCATAACTAATACTCATGATTCAGATAACAAATCATACATCTGTGGACTTCCAGATATGATCTCTTTCCTAAGTGACAGAAAGTAGACACGATTCTATGAATATGTTTCTCTAATGAAACGAAGACGCAGGTCCAACTGAGTATTCCGAATGTAGAAGGCCAAATTCTTACAGCATGTGGAAAGCCAGCCAAAACAAAAACACAAATTTAATATTGCATTATTCAATTTATCGTTTTTGTGGGTTATGAAACGGTGCTTTTCGAGTTACGATGATAGATTTTCGCACATTTTGTCACGTTTCCTACAGTCTCTGATATATTCTGATATACTGACTACAAATTAACTCAATTGTTTCAATAACAATTGTTCCATAGCAATTTAATTTGTGGCAGAAACAACTTTTCTTTTTTCTCACTCTATATTTTTGTTATACTTTCTCTACTCTATTCTTATGAATAAGTGACTTTTTTATTGAGTTGAAGCTTGCATGCTGTCACTTTTTGAAATTTCCACTTTTCCACAAACAAAAAGTTGGAATGGCCGAGATGTTGAACACTCTGAGATTGGACATGGTGAAATAATTAATACACGTGGTGATAAATCAGATCTCGACTATATTATACGGTGTGTATTTAGTTACTGCAATACAAGCTCTGGCTATAACTGACACTGATAGCTATATTTCAAACGACAATATTTATTTTCAAAGACAAAATACAAGCACTACAAGAAAATCCTCAAGGCGCTCTGAGAGCGGTGTCTGTGCGAAAGTAGCGATGCACATTGGATT